ACCCTTTTCAAGATGCAGCAGCCAGGCGGCGCCGAGCTGGGCTAGGATGTGCCAAGCGTTTCTTATAAGGCAGCCTCGTTAGTGCCACCCCTCGTTGCGATACCGCCCCTCAATGCGACGCCGCCCATTCACCGTACAATGCCACCCCTCAATGCAAGTGCTGCTCCCCCCCGCGCATTGCCGCCCATTATTGTGATGTCGCCCCCGCCTAGCAGTGCGGTGCCGCCCCAGCGTACGCCACACCGACGGAACGATCACTTTTGAAACTTTCAGAGATTGATAAGACTAACAATATGTATAAAATGTTTATCTCGGACTTTTGATATCTATGACCTAAGGTCAGGTCAATTTTGCGACTTCTCCATTAGGTATAAGTCAATTGGAGAAAATTGAAATGAGCCTCTTTTGGACGAATGTGGTTCAAAACCCTCTCAAACATCGGTTCATAGGTAAACATAACACACTGAATCGATAAAATGCACCTGTGACCCTTCTGTGTGCCCCTGAGGTCATCTCAGGTCATGAACGGTCACCAGCATTTTTTTGGCTATACCTTTTGATAGAGACGTGCTAAAGCGGTGAAAACACGTCAGATGTGTTCAGCTCGACGATACGGATCGGGTGATATGCAGCATGACCCTGTCCGTCAAGGTCATGACCTTGACCTGAGGTCAAATTTTCAAAATGACCTTTCAAGGTCAACGTATAGTTCATTCGACGCGTTTTGAACTTTTGACGAGAGGAATACGATGCTGGCAAAATAAATGTCATCACTGTCTTGAGTCAAAAGTTATTGCAGAAAACGATTTTAATAAAAACTGTTATTTTTGGAGCTGTTTCCCTCTGGAGGCTAGTGGCAGTCAGTTATTGGAGGCAGTCATGCATGTCCACAAGTAGGGGCTGCACGCACTAGACATCGAATTGTTAAGGTGATGTGTGGAGAAAAAATCCAGAACGTATGTCAGCGTTCGGTCGCCTCTGACTGCAGTCACTGCTGGTATGACAATGAGTTGGGATCTCATGGTGGATCTCATGGTCTTAAATGTTCAAGTATTTCCTTGATTCCAATTTAGGCAATAAGTCGCAGCGTGTATCCTACATACGTGCGCTCTGAGATTCTAAACACGGCAACCCCGATCGACTACAGGCTGCAGCCCACAGGTCATTTCGGATCAGAGAGTGAGCCCGTATATTTTTCCTTTTTTTTGCAAAGAATAAAGATTTTGCCTATCGATCAACGTATAGTTATTTTACCGTTTCGAATTCGCATGGATGCGTATTTTGAGAAAAAAAAAATGTCCGTAGCCTGAGCTCGTTTCCTATAGCATGCTAAAAATTCATCTAGATCAAGGCTTTTTGATAAAAAACACTAGGCTGCAAATTGCATTAATTGGATTTTATGAAAATCAGCGAAAGCTGGTTCTTATGTACTTTGCAACACCTAGTAAATCATGCATGAACATGACGGTACATTTCAGACTGACTGTGACACCCCTGTCACTAGCTGACAATGGCGCCCCTCTCAAGGGAAAAAGTCGCCCCCTCGAGCACCATGGCCCCCCCTTTCGCTGATCTCTGGCTACGCCACTGTTTGAACCAAAAAATAGTATTACGTAACAGATTAACCATAGGATGTATGTTTCGCTACAAGGATAGACTGCCCAAGTCGAGCATCTCTGGTGTGGTTTACAAATATAGTTGCGCCTCATGCCAGGCGTCATACGTTGGCTCCACTTACCAACGCTTGTAGGTACACCAGAGTAGCTCAGCACTTAGGCAAGTCACATCGTACAGGTCAACTACTGTCATCTCCCTCAGCATCATCCATCAGAGACCATGCCTTGTCATGTCAATCATCACTAGGGATAGACGACTTTCAAATTTTGAGTAGAAGCAGTACCTACATTCCCTGATTTAAGAATTCTGGAATCGTTGTATATTCATCGTCTGAGGCCGCAAATCAACGACATGTCCTCGGCGTATCCACTACATATCACTGCTTAGCTGGGTACTTTTATGTAGCTGTTTCGTTGTGTACGTCATTGTACTTTTAATTGCATTAGGCAGTTTTCTAATGCGAAGCTGAACTCGAACTATTGCATGTGCGTGTGCGATATATTTTATGATCAAGGTGTGTTTGAATCATTGACCTATAATAAGTACCTACTTATTATAGGTCAATGGTTTGAATATGTATGTGTCCTGTATCAATTTGAAAAGAGTGTTGTCACTGAAGATGAATCTTGTCACTTGTGATTCGAAACCGGTCTGAATTTAATACATGAATGTCGTGTCATGCCTAACATAAAACTTTATATTACTTTTGATTCCATCAAAAGAAAGACTTTATGAACTCAAAACTAATGTTAGGGTGGGACGGTCACTTTAACGGAAATTTCTGGGTATGAGCGGCCGGCCAGCCATGCGGACGCTTTTGCGAGGCTTATATCTCAGCAACCACTCGACCGATTTCATTGCGGTAATTTTTATAGGGTAACTTCATTCCTTCTACCAAGTATTGGACTATTCTCGATGCATGTGGGTGACCCCTTATGCACGTGCCACGTGCAAAACGAAGAGGTGTCCGTTTTGTAACAATTGCAATATCTCCGTAACTACTGGGCCGATTGCGCTGAGAGTTGGCAGGTAGGTAGGCACCCACGAGGCAATGCATATCCATATGCCACAGTTGGGGTGCTGCTGCACGTGCGCACGTGCAGGGGTCGATTCCAGATCTCGAGAACGGCTGAACCGATTGCGCTGAAATTTGGTACATGGTTAGGGACCGGTTAGTAGGGTGCAGTGCAAAAGTCAGTTATGACTCATTTTGCACGTGCACACGTGCAGGGTGTCGCTTCCAGATCTCGAGAACGGCTGGGCCGATTGCGCTCAAAGTTGGCACATGACTAGGGACCGGTTAATAGGGTGCAGTGCACAAGCTAGTTGGAGGTACCCCTCGCAATTTCGCACGTGCAAGGCTCACCCTCTCGCTCGCTCCGTTGGTCGCCCTAAAAGGCGTTTTACTGGTGTTATATTAACTGTGAAAAGACTGTTGTAACGCTTTTGAGACGTGTCACTTCGTGGGATATTTGATTTGCACCCTTTTGTAATTGCTTGCTCCCAGGGCTATGCGAACCAGGTAGAACGTTCGCGACGTCCTTGCTCCCGACGAAAAAGTGGCGACAAAAATGAAATTATTAGCCGCGACTCTGGTGGCCAAACAACCTCAGGCTGCCTTGGTAACGGGGCAACATTGGTATGAGTATTGAGTACTCATCTAATAGTTCATTTTTTCAACGAATAACTTCAGGAAAAACAAAGAAATTCATTGGATTAGTAGAGGAATGAATGGCAGTTTTCATAAATGAGCCAATTTTTTATCAGACTAGCCTTAATAATAGGGGAGAGTGGGGAAAGATGCCCAGGGTTTGACTATGTCATATATTATTCGAAAATGACGATCGGATAGCCAAAACTTGGAGTTTCAACGGAAGCCGACATCATTTTTCTCCAAAAATATCACACTTTCGTGCCTGAAATATGATAACTTTTTTTGCTATCAAGCATTTTCCTGAAGAAGTGAAAGGGGGCATCTTACCCCACAGGGTGGAAAAGACGCCCCCTGGCGCTGGGTAAGATGCCCCCTGCACTAAAAGTGACATAAATAGGCACGTGAATCGCCTGAACGAATCAGTAGTCCCTTCGAGCCTGCAGTAGACACCAAACGTCATCGTAAGGGCCCTCAAAAGTAGTCGTAGGGGGCTTCAGAGGTCATCGTTAGGGCCATCATAGTCCAGCGTGGCCAAGCAAGCCTCCGTGGTGGCGTTCGGAGACCACTGTGGGGGCCCTTATAGGTCTTCATGATGCTTGAGGGCCCTCGAGCCCATCGTGGGGACCTCAGATGCCAGCGCGGCCCGTGGAGCCAACGTGGGAGCCCTCAAAGGATGTCGTGAGGGGCCATAGAACCAATAATGGGGCCCACAGAGGCCGTCGTGAGGGCTCTCAGAGTCAGAAGCCGCCCAAAAAGTCGCTGTGTGGGCCGAGAGACCGGCATGGGGAGCACCCGACCGTACCGGACTCTCAATAGTCCCAGATCGGCTTTTGTCTCTCATCACAAGTATGTAATACATGATTTGACGGGCTGCTTGAAGGACAGCCTACGGATTTAGGGGGGCGTCTTTCCCCATCAGGACAGGGGGCATCTTACCCCAAGGTACCGAAGTAACATTAAATCAGCACAATTTGTTAGCCTTAAAACTTAACCCTGAAACAAACTGTTTGGGACACAGTACACGCATGTTAATGTATCACGACTATAGCAAGGGACGCAAAAATTATCTACCTTTTTTGATATTTACAATGTTTTGACGCCAAAATATTTTTTGAAAGCAGCAAATAAAAAACATGCAATCACCAGCCAGCCGTTGCCACACTGAGCTTCGCAAATTTTTGTGCAGTTAACAAGGCAGGCTTCTGCTTTACGCTAAGAACATTAATTTCCAGGTTCGATTCTTTGTTTCCCCGCTAGAGGGGGTGGGGCGTCTTTCCCACCCTGGGCATCTTACCCCACTCTCCCCTACCAAAATTAAGACCTAAACTTAACCACTCGTGCTTCTATAGGTTACCCCTAACGCTCTGGCCCCTCAAATCGTCACTTTCTTATCAGCCGATGAGCGTCGAGTATGGACTTACGCTGATTGGTCAGATTACTGCGTTTGTCGTTTATAATGCTCACGGTGCTGACAGTGCTGGCGCAAATGTCGCCAAATTTCGTAACGTTGAAAGGCCTGAGCGCACCCCTGCTTTCTCCTAACAGCACAGCTCGTTAGCCCATGCCGCTGTCAGCAGAGAGGGGATGCCATGTTGCATGTGCAACATGACAACATCAGTTTTTCATCCAATAGGGTAAACGAGTCTTTGCTGACAGCAGCACTGCAGCTGAATGTGTACAGGCATGCAGACTGTTGTCTAGCCTTAACATCACTTTCCGTACATTTCAGGGGTGAACAAGCATTTTCAGATGCTGATGATTCTGGAGCGGTTTTGTTCGCGGGTGCAGCAGGATGTACCAGCCGCGGCCATTTGGGAGCGTCTCAACCAGCTCTACGACATGTCGGCGCTGGTACGGCCACCAGGGCGCGGACGGAGTACGGACGGACGGGGCGCGGACGGAGTACGGACGGACGGGCGGACGGACAGACGGACGGGGCGCGGACGGACGGACGGGCGGACGGGGCGCGGACGGACGGACAGACGGACGGGGCGCGGACGGACGGGGCGGACGGACGGAGTACGGACGGACGGGCGGACGGACAGACGGACGGGGCGCGGACGGACGGACGGGCGGACGGGCGGACGGGGCGCGGACGGACGTACAGACGGACGGGGCGCGGACGGACGGAGTACGGACGGACGGACGGACGGGGCGCGGACGGAGTACGGACGGGCGGACGGACAGATGGACGGAGTACGGACGGACGGACGGGGCGCGGACGGAGTACGGACGGCCACCAGGGCGCGGACGGAGTACGGACGGACGGGCGGACGGGGCGCGGACGGAGTACGGACGGACGGACGGACGGACGGGGTGCGGACCGAGTACGGACGGACGGGCGGACGGACAGACGGACGGACGGACGGGGCGCGGACGGAAGGACAGACAGACGGACGGACGGACGGACGGACGGACGGATGAGGCACGAATGGACGGGCGGCCGCCGGGGCACGTTCCTTCTACTGAAATCGCACTGCACTTCCATCGCTGACGGGTGATGTGATAAGGTTTGGTCTTGATCTGGGCGAAAAGGAAAGAAGTAAAACTCCCGGGCTGTAAAAAGATGTTTTTGCGTTGCTGTCGTAACTAACGGTCAGTGAAAGGTCGCCGTTCATTGGTTGGAGTTGCAGAGTTTGTCTGGAATGTTTGTACTTTGGAGCTGGTGTAGCGCCGGCCGCTGCGGTGGTGAATGCGTTGTGGTGGTGGGTGGCTGCTGTGTGTCGGCGCCGGCAGCTGACCGGGGTGTCGGTGGGCGCGCAGGACGACCTGGAGGCGCTGCCGTTCCCCAACAGCCAGACAGAGTTCGGCCTGCCCGCCGACGAGTTCGAGACGCTCATGGCGGCGCGACTGAGGCGCGCTGACCAGACGGCCGAGCAGCACCGCGACGAGCCGCGCCGCCGCCGCGCGCGCGACGACACGGGTGAGTGGCGGCCGCCCAGCCCGGGCTGACCGCGCTACTACCCAGCCCGGGCTGACCGCGCTACTACCCAGCCCGGGCTGACAGCGATACTACCCAGCCCGGGCTGACAGCGATACTACCCAGCCCGGGCTGACCGCGCTACTACCCAGCTCGGGCTGACAGCGATACTACCCAGCCCGGGCTGACCGCGGTACTACCCAGCCCGGGCTGACAGCGATACTACCCAGCCCGGGCTGACCGCGCTACTACCCAGCTCGGGCTGACAGCGATACTACCCAGCCCGGGCTGACCGCGGTACTACCCAGCCCGGGCTGACAGCGATACTACCCAGCCCGGGCTGACAGCGAAACTACCCAGCTCGGGCTGACCGCGATACCACTCACTCAGAGTTGAACGTCCAAACGACAGAGCCCGGACCGGGCCCAGGGAGCACAGCACCAGTCACCCGACTTAGCACTCCACCCCCCCCCCCCCCCCCCCCCGCCCCCAAACGCCCGCAGGTAGCAGCTCCACGCGCGAGAAGCGGAGAAGTGACGCCGGCGACTCTGTGCGGAGAGCGCCCAAGAGGGCAGCGCGCGACAGCGCTGGAAAGGCCGCCAGCCCAGCCAGCACTCCGACCGCAAAACGAACGAGGCGCATTTGAGGCGGACGCGGCGCGGCGGCGCCCTGATCGAGGACGCCTCTCCATCTGTGTGTGTATGTGTGTGTGCGGTGCCGGCTGTGTCCGCCCGTCGGAGACCGTCTGCTCGGTGTGCTGCCGGACAGTGTGTGCTGCCGGACAGTGCTGCCGGTCAGCGTGTGCTGTTGGTCAGTGTGTGCTGTTGGACAGTGTGTGCTGCCGGTCAGTGTGTGCTGTTGGACAGTGTGTGCTGTCGGACAGTGTGTGCTGGCGGTCAGTGTGTGCTGCCGGTAATTGTGTGCTGCCGGTCAGTGTGTGCTGCCGGACAGTGTACTGCCGGTCAGCGTGTGCTGTCGGTCAGTGTGCTGCCGGTCAGTGCTGTCGGACAGTGTGTGCTGCCGGTAAGTGTGTGCTGCCGGTCAGTGCTGCCGGTAAGTGTGTGCTGTCTGACAGTGTGTGCTGTCTGACTGTGTGTGCTGTCTGACAGTGTGTGCTGTCGGACAGTGTGCTGCCGGTCAGTGTGCTGTTGGTCAGTGTGTGCTGCTGGTCAGTGTGCTGCTGGTCAGTGCTGTCGGACAGTGTGTGCTGCCGGTCAGTGTGCTGTCGGTCAGTGTGTGCTGTCGGACAGTGCTGCCGGTAATTGTGTGCTGACAGTCAGTGTGTGCTGCCGGTCAGTGTGTGCTGCCGGTCAGTGTGTGCTGCCGGTCAGTGTGTGCTGTCGGTCAGTGTGTGCTGCCGGTCAGTGTGTGCTGCCGGTCAGCATGTGCTGCCGGTCAGTGTGTGCTGTCGGTCAGTGTGTGCTGTCGGACAGTGTGCTGCCGGTCAGTGTGTGCTGTCGGACAGTGTGCTGCCGGTCAGTGCTGCCGGACAGTGTGAGCTGTCGAACGGTGTGTGCTATCGAACGGTGTGTGCTATCGAACGGTGTGTGCCGCCGGACAGTGCTGCCGGACAGTGTGTGCTGCCGGACAGTGTGTGCTGCCGGACAGTGTGTGCTGCCAGTCAGTGTGTGCTGCCGGTCAGTGTGTGCTGCCGGTAATTGTGTGCTGCCGGTAATTGTGTGCTGTCGGACAGTGTGCTGTCGGTCAGTGTGCTGCCGGTCAGTGTGCTGTCGGTCAGTGTGCTGTCGGACAGTGTGTGCTGTCGGACAGTGTGTGCTGCCGGACAGTGTGTGCTGCCGGTAATTGTGTGCTGCCGGTCAGTGTGTGCTGTTGGTCAGTGTGTGCTGTCGGACAGTGTGTGCTGGTGGTCCGCCCGGTCCGGTGGTTGCCAGGTCCGGTGGTTGCCCGGTCCGTGGCCAATGTATTGTTTGCGCGGCTGGCTGTTACTCTCCCGCCGCGCTGGTCGGTGGACGCCACTGGAGCGGCCAGCGGGTGTGGTGGCGGTGCGTGCACGCCGCGTGCCGCATGCAGCAGCGGCTGCGGTCGGGGCGCGTGTGGCGCTGCCCTGTTAGCGGCGGCCCGTGCGCCTCCGAACCGCTCTCCATTTGTGTCTGTATTAGAGGATAGAGCAGTGTCCTGAGAAATAACGAGGACGTGTCATCATGAACACAGTTGAATGGAAAATAGACGGGATCAATGTCAGTATTTCAGGAAATTATTCATTAAGTTATGTATCAGTATCAATGCAAGCTACAATGTCTATTATCGTAAAACCAGGCGATGATGGACAACTTTGGACGTCGACCGTCCCAAAAGCAGTGTTTCACACTAAAAAAAAAAAAACTTGCATTGCTTCTTGGAACTTAATCAGCATTCGGCGACGACGTCACGACATGGATGTTCAACTGACACAATTCGCTGGCGAATAGTTACCAGGCACGACTCGTCGGAAGGTCATGTCGTGCTCAAAAGAAACGACATATAGGGGAAGTTGGGTAACGCCGAATACTTTTTTTTGACGCCCGTAGCACGCAAGGTAGACAACATAAGCTATTCAGGCTCGTCCTCTTCTGTAAACGCTGTAGACCGATCGCTGCTTGTATTGCCTCGTCGCCGCTTAGCAGGGCTGCCATTTCTGTTAAGCCGTTGGATCATGGTACGGAAACTGACCTGTCCTTGGCTCCCGCCGAGACCGCCACTGGCCCCGGCTCCGCCATCCTCGCCGGGCGTGAGGGGCGGGGCAGCCGTCCGACCCCGCCGAGCGCCGCGACTGGGTCCGCCTCTGTCACTGACCGCTGCACTGCCCCAGATCCTGGCGCGGTGCCAACAGCGGGCGGGCGGGCGGCCTCCGTGCGGCGCCGACCACGGCCCGCCGACCTAGGCGGCGCCCCACCACCGGTCACGAGTCGTTGGCTACCGACACCAGACGGCATTTCTCAACACCGTGAATCTCGCAAACTTGCAGAGATCGGTAAGGCCAACACTCAACACTGCCACTCCATACAAACGACGCTCACGGGGTGGTCCGGTCGACAAAGCAAAGGACCGGTCCAGCCACGCCACTGAACTCTATACTGAGCCACGCACTCAGGCGACCGCGCACAGCAGGCCGACACGCGTCCGACCCCGGTCACTGCCGAGCGCCAACTCGAGGTTTTTCGCGAAGTCGCGAAATTTGGTACAACTATTCTATTATCAATTTTACACATGATGTGCAAGTTTGAACCTCCTAACTTTTAAGGTCAGGTCACCAGGTCACGTTGAATGACCCAACCTCAAGTCACTTTTTTGCAACTTTGTCACCGTTCCAGAGCTACAGTAGATGTCGGAGGCCTTTGAAAGTCGCAGGATGTTATAAGGTCATTAGTAGCTACAATTTGTGTATCTCGGAATTTTGATATCGATGACCTAAGGTCAGGTCAATTTCTCGACCTCCCCATTATAAGTCAATGGGGGAAAAATCAACTCCCTGTTTTTACCACTAAAACGGGTCGGAACGGCCCCATAAACTATACCTGACTTCATATACGATCAACCTTCACTACTTGGGATCTGTTTTGCTGTTGGGCAGCTGTAAGGTCATGTGACGTCATCAAAGGTCACCAAAGTTTTTTTTGCCAATGACTCCGTACAGGAACAAGATACAGCCGCGCGGATGGTCTCATTGTGTTCAGCACGTCAAGGCGCATCGAATGATATACATGATGACCTCGAGGTCACGTGACCTGAGGTCAACCTTTGACCTTGACCTTTCGAGGTCAACATATATATATATATATATATATATATATATATATATATATATATATATATATATATATTTATTTATTTATTATTTGTTGACACATGGGAGCGCTGCGTGGAACCGATTCGTACACATCATTCCAGCCTTACGGTACTAACACCTTTTGGTGTTGCACTGTTTGGCGCTGGCCCGGCATGCACACTGCTTCATCCCTTGCCCTCCAAAAAGTGACTGCTCTCGGAACGCCTCTCTCAGGCCAAGAGTGCGATCTGTTCCGACCACCCCAACCTCGTTTGCATCGGTTTCCCGCAAAGCTGAGCGCGGAAACCAGCCCTTTATGACCCCGGCGCGCGTACTCAGCTGATACACATCATTCCTTGCATCAGTGATCACTGCGTGGATGTTAGCAGGATCGAGCGCCCCACGGTCCACTTTGGGCGGGAAGCGCGGGAAACCACATAGCTGCGGTAATCGTTTCAGAAAGTACCGGCCGTCAGTCGGGCATTTCATGTAATGCCTAGGCAACAAATGTACTCAATTGGTTTTGACCACATTTCAGGGAGTGCCTGGCCTCCGCCTGGCACTTCATGAAAAGCCTAAAATTTTCAGGCATTCGCTGTAACGCCCGTATTTCTACGAAGATTTCAGTTTTTGCCGGCATTCCATGTAATGCCTAGACATTTCATGAAATGCCGGATTTCACCCGATGCCTACGACATAGGGGAAGGTGGGGTAAGACGGACCAGCTAAGGTTTGAGGCCGCATATCTTGCTACACTGCTCTCGTAATTCATATTACCTATAGTCTTCGGAATGCTCAATCCTTCCTCTGTTGATATGTGTAAAGACTAAATTTCAAATTAAAGACATTTAGGTGGTGGATGCTCTTAAAGAGGGACATGTCAAAAACTCAGACAAGAAAAAACGTGGGGTAAGACGGACCACCCAGCAGTGCCTGCTATCCGTTCATGTGTGTTACACTTCTGCTCTGTACTCTTGTAAGAAAAAGTAACCAGAATGGTAAAATAACAAAATGAGCCTTTATTCTTTACTCATGTGTGATGGAAGTGCAGCTAAAAGCTGGGAACATGTGTGTTAATTGTCGTTTGGCATGAATGCATGCTAACTGAGCACTTGCATGCATGGCTCACATGCAACAAAGACTCCTTCCTGAAAAATTAGCTTACTTAAACTTGTGTCAATGTTTTGGAAAAGAACTTTCCATATGCAGGGTACAATGGACCACCACAGGGTAAGATGGACCACAGTGGTCCGTCTTGCCCCATATCTAAATTCTGTCATTATCATGACGTATATGTCGAATAGCCCAACATTGCAAAACCTTGCCTTTTCTTAAGTGTGACTTTAACTAAGTTTATAACTTTGTTCTTCACAGTTTAGTGCAAAATACAAACTAATCATGCAAGAAAGGCGCCGTAATTGAATCACCCGTAGACCTCTTATATTAGATCGGTTTGACGAAAAACAACATTTTTCTCAATAACTCAAAAGCTATGCATCCTAGCAGCATGAGCTCAATGTGGCCATTGTTACGAAGGAAAACAAACATAGTGAGTGCATAAAGCAGTAGATACCAGCAGCGGTTCAGCCGGGAGGGCTGGTGGTCCGTCTTGCCCCGCTGGGCCGTCTTACCTCACCTTCCCCTATATATCAGTGGCGCAGCCAGGATTTCGTTTCGGGGGGGTCATCGCTTCCAAAGCGGGCCCCCTAGTGTGCGGGCCCCCACCCATTTTTCAGAATCTCTCCATATTTCATACGCATTCTGCTGGGCGGGCACCCTTTACCTGCACGATCACATGCGGAACTTTATATACCCTGGGGGGTGTAGCTACAACCCCAACTTTTAAAAGTACAACCCCAATGGCAAAACTACAACCCCAACATTGGAAAATTAAGAATCAGCCTAAAACACATGAAAAGAACAAAATATGTATCATACAGAAGCAGATAATTGAGATATATCAAGAAAGTGAAGATATCAATAAATTAGGACATCTTTTTGAATTCCAGATGCTAAAAACATTGAAAGTGCTCTGTTAAGAACATATTATTCCGCTGAGACTGAGACAGTGAGCATGATATGAAAGTTAATCACTTCACACTTCTTAAGCATACTAAGTGAATCATGTTGAAAGTGTTCCAAAAAATCTTAACATGTAACATGAAAGTGTGAATCAAACAAATCATAACATTCATCATACTTTTGCAGTGGCGGATCCAGCTCAGTTTTTTTTTTTGGGGGGGGAAACCATAACAACTTATCGATTCTTTCCATGCCTCGTCCATAGGCATAATGTTTAAATTATGCCGTTTGGGAGGGGCAAATGCCCATTTTGCCCCCCCCCCCTGGATCCGCCACTGTACCTACTTTTGGGTTTTCTCACTAAACATTTCATACCTGTGGGCTGTGCTTATCAAATAGATAAGCATATATGAAAAGTTTGACAGACAACAGTAAGCTTCAGAAATAAATTAACCTAACCTAAGCCTTCACCCTATGTAGCATTCTATCACCATAATCTAACCATAATATTGCGTGTCAACGACCACAGAACCACAGAACTAAAGTGAAATATCACTCTGTTCGCAATTTTGTCAGTTGGCACAATACCACCAATCAGCACGAATGTTTGGCTAAAATGACGACACTTAAAACCAACGTTGACGACCATAACAACCAATCCTGTGCGATAATTAGTGCTGATAATCTTACTGACAGGTTCGCGAACAGAATGCAAACTAAGTCGCATGTAAGCCAACATGACGCATCTGATACAAATGCAAGGTTTTGGCGACGTCTGTCAATTCAGCAGCAACGAATATCAGCCTCACAGCAGCATATTTCGGTGTCTTTCGATTTGGCTAAAAATCGGTATCTGCAGGGCCTCCTCGATGCGCTGATTCCGAAAATATGCCTCTTTGAGGTGGTATTTTGCACCGTTAACGAGTTAAAGGGAGATAATGAGCTTTCTTTTTTCTTAAATAAAAATTACTCGACATCTATACTATTTCTACTGTAGTTTCTATAAAATATGAAAATTTCCTAGCACATTTTCGTATGTGAAAAAGGCTTTTATTTTTGCAAAAAAGAAGCAGTACTTGCAGTACTTGTAACACCCACCGAAATGTGTTGTCCTTCTCTATAAAAAAGTCGCAGTATATGGCGCTTTTGTTTCAAACAGCGACGCTTGGGTTTTTGTTTATGTTATCGCCTTGTCGTTGCTTGGTTGTAAGGATTCTAATTTGAATTAGAGTTAATTCGCTTTAGAATTAATTAGATTCTAATTCGGGGGTACACAGTGCCTACTCTTCTTTGTTCCAAGTATTATTTTGCGCCACAAATGAACGGCATGCGCCAGAAACGCAGCCAAATCTTGCGATTGCGACTACGAAATTCATTATTTTGGCCTCAGAGCCTGAAGCGAAAAATACAAGCATAT